TCGCTGAGATTCCCCGATGACATCGGGAGGCTTTTGTCTATATACATACGTCAAGGGGGAAAGGTCATTTGAATGAGTCAATGCTTCCTGCGGCTATTTCGTTATCGGCGACAGGTGCAGCAGTTCATGTGGGCGCCCTTATTGACAGCTTCTACACACTTCCATGTGGGACACCCCATATGTACAATAGGAGAAACGGAAAACTTGCGCAAAAAGACGTGGGTACCAGCGGATGTAGGTATAGCCGACAACTCGGTCTTCGCTGTACTTAATCCTACGCATCAGATAAAAATCACTCAGTCAGACGTAACTTCAGCTTCGTCAAATTAATATCGGAAAGTATATTTAGCAATAAAGTTTAAAGAATTTCTCTTATGCAACATGAAAAAAAAAAAATTAAGCAAACGTATTATCGTCTCGTTAAGGTCGACCTGAAAACACTGATAACCCGAAGACACGAGGATGGAAAACATCTAGGCAGACAATTTGGCAAGATAATAAAATTGAAAGAGCAATTTATTTGTCATTGGCTACTGAGAGTGAAGATGATTACAGGCGACTAGTCGATTGTAATCGCTAGAACGTAAACTACTTTCACTGTGTAGAAGGAGGAGCAGAGAGATGCGTCTGGCAGACTGACGAACGGTGGTCGGTCGGTCGGTCAAGCAGGGAGACGACAGACTGTCTGCGGTGGAGAGACGAACAGGCAGGCAGGCAGCGAACCAGACATATTCGATCGTCACGATCGATGAGAAGCAACGAGAGTTCGCGCACGATCCCGCTGAATCGGCATCCAGCAAGTGATGGCATTGCAAGATCCACGATTGTCTATAAGCACATCTGTGAATTCTTCCAGTGCCAAGACCCGCCAGAACCAGCCACTCTTTTTCTCAACTTCTTCCATTGGCCCAGTTTTCCTTCCTTTTCGTTCGTTCCTCTCATTCTCGAGAGAATGAAATCGAAAGTCAACGATACTAGCGGTGCAAATAAAAAGGGCTTGCCAGTAGTGAGTTGAAACTTCTTATGTGAATGTGGATCTTGAGAAAATGTTTCAAGTTGAGAAGAAAATGCTTCGTACGTCGTCGCAAACTCCTCGCGCATTGCGTCGTTACGATTTTTCACAGCCGTTGTTGTCGTCGTCGTTGCTAAGCTAGCCGGTGGCGTTCGTCACGCTTCCGCGCTGTCGAGAAATCCAGACAAGGGAACGTAACGAGTAGAATGAAACAAAAGTTCCCGGAACACAGTCCAAACCGAACGGAACGAAACGAAACTCGGTCATCAACAGCAACAGCGACTGTCCACGTAACCAGTAAAGTCAGCAAGAAAAGATCGTGTTTCCATTCTCGAAATTAATTTTAACAATGACGTTCGTCAAAAAGAAGCAACAGAAGCGAAAGGATCTCTCGCTACGGCGATTTAATTCGACATAAAGAAAAGGATTACGAATATAAGAAAAAAAGTCAAAGGACATACAACAAGTCCGCTGGAACATCGCGTAGGAGAGGCGAGGAACGAGATGGAAAGTGAGAAGTCGTAGATACTCGCGGAACTAACGGGGAATGCGATCTCCTTTTCGAAATCTCGCGCACGGTCGCTCCTCTGGTGCCACGGTCAACCAACTGAAACTGGAACTTGAACTGAAACTGGAACTGACAGTGGAAACGAGAGAACGAGAAGAAGGACAGACGAACAGAAGGACGAGGCAACGCGTTCGGCTGCGCGGAGCGCACTAAACTGACTCGGACGCCGAGTCAGAGGCCGTGTCTGTGTGCGTTGCCTTGGTTCCCGTGCTGGGCCCGAGGCCCCTGGGCCTTACGGCCTTACGGCCTTACGGGCTTATGCCATCAACAGACCCCACGACGATTCGGTTGCCCTTCTTCCGCCGCGTTCATCCGTTCTCGTCGCTCCGTTTCGGTTCGCTTCGATTCCACTTGGTTTCCATTGTTCCTGCTGTTCCTGCTGTTCCTGCTGTTCCTACAGTTGTTGCAATTCCTGCGGTTCTTCCTGTGGTTCCATGTTCCACAAGGGTGCCTCCTGACGTCTACCGTCCAACCACCACCGACCGGCCCAGACTGACGAGAGCCACGATCAACGAACGGAGGGGTTGCTGAAGCGTCGCGCGCGACTGCGCACCACCCTCCCGACCAACCCCCTCTGCCCCTCCTATTCCGCACCAACGTTCTCATAGCCCTCCCCCCTCCTCCTCCTTCACCACCCCCCTCTCACCATCAACAAATTCACAAGCAACGCTAATAACTCTACGACTACGAGCAGCATAACAACGTTACCCCTTCCGTTTGCGTGGTCTAGCAACCCCTGAATTAGACTACTGCGATTAGGGGGCACATACGCGCCGTAAAGTAATGATTCTTTCGCCCGATCGGACCACTAAAATTAATAGCTCCTTCCATGGAAATAAAGAGAAATCGAAATCACTCGGACCGCACAAAACAATCGAAGCAAACAAATCTCGAAGACGGAATGTAGCTCACTGGTAATTTCTTGTATCGAACTTGTGAAGCTGATTCGGATTCCGAGAGAAGGAAGAAATGTTATGGGAAATCGGGACACGATCGGCTAGATCGTTCGGCATGAACTGGAACGTCCTCTGTTTATGTTCGCTCTTCTACATTGTAGTTGATACCCCTGTCTATGTTCTTGTTCGCGTCGCGTCCACCCACAACTATTTGCGATCGATAGTAACGCAGATATATGCGTAGTCCACGCACGTAGTCGCCGACACGGCGATAAAGACGATAACGGCGACACCGTAAGGCCGTAAGGAAAATAATTTTAAGGATGTCCCTGCGTCGTCCATTTACGTTTGAACGCGTTTCTGGTAAATCGACGGCATGTGGAATTAGTTATTCCGACACGTGTCTGCTTCCTGTGCAATCCATTGCCATTGTCACGAGCCCAGCGATGAACAGTGAGCAAAGAGTAACGAGAACACCTGGCAGGTGAATTGCGCAACTTCAATCTACGAATACACGTTTATCAGTATAGTCTGTTTATCGCTAATTTTTTGCCTCCCATTCACGAAGAGAACTGCAGACGAATCGTTTCAGCGCATCTAAATCCGAAACCAGATCCTTCGAATCAAATCCTCTCTTCTGGCAGAGATAATCGAGCTGCTTGCCGAAATAATTGAAATACGAAATCTATATCTATCCCGGGACAGCAGCGTAGTCCATGTAACTTATCAGCTGTAACGAGCTTCCACGATATTGTCGCAGAGCACACTTCGCGCAAATTACTGTCCACGGTATCCAACAGTGCTGCCAACCTACGCAATCGCGACAGGAAAGGTAAAAAACCCTTACAAGATTTTTTCATTAGCAATAGTGTTTTGCCGAAGAAAAACAAAGATAAGGAATATTAAATAAATATAAATCCACTGGTTATCACTGGTTACCATTGGTTACCATTGGTTACCGCTGGTACAATGCCAATGCTAAACTTGAACTTTTCGACGTGGCGCCACCTTCCACCTTCCACGATAGTTTCTGACCTGAAAGAGGGCGCCGACCAACCAACTTATTACGAAATTAATCCTATCAATTATTCATCACCGGCGTCAGCCTGATTTCTCTTATCTATTAAGAACCGAAGGACGATGTTGCCGTTGTCGCTGCTATTCCGACGCCACCTCAAGGTGCTAAACGCACTACGGTACTTTCTTCGCGTTTTACTGCGCGCCTTCCTGGGAAACTTTAAACGGTCGTCTGCAGCTACAAGACTTTCCGAACAATGTCTTAGACTCCAGAGACAATAATAAATGTGCAGCAAACCGATCGAACGAATTTATTGTTGCGCAATAAATGATCCTTGAATATTGACTCGGTGCCATCGAAGCCGAATAAATATCAGTCGACGATACGATGGCATGGGATGATCGGACGGACATGCTGGGCAGGGAAGCTTCGGGGGATAAAAAATTAAAATCCTCGTCGACCTTTGCGTCATAATTGTCACTGTAACTTCTGCCAACCTAGGAATCAAGCCTAACTGCGCTACGGGCCAAATCTTTCGCAGTGAAATTGCCCAATGGCAGCCCGGATTCGGGCAGATGGCAGCTGCCAATAGCATTGCCAGTTAAGTCGCGCTACCTAGCCAGTCTCTTCCCGGTTAATGAGAAAGATCAGCAGGTGCTCCACTACGCCAGTCTAGGGTTTTCAAACGGCCGAATTTCAGCCTTAACTGTAGTTAAGGACACGTTGCGGACACGTGGACACACACGTGCGCGCTCGACGCGTATACCATCTCCTTTGTAAATCGAGTTGTCGCGACGCCATCCCTCGGGACGCTGTAAATGCTGAAAGAACACCATCCGCACGCAACATCCTCTATTCCAGTGCCACGCGATTCTAGGAATTTTAAGGATCTCGAAAATTCCCTCGAGAATTTCGAGGAGTTCGCGAGAAAGCTCCTCGGTTTGCCAGTGGACGCCGGAAGAGAATAAAAAAGAACCGATCCACAAGCAGAACGAAAGTCACTCCGTATCGGGAGACGAGAATCAACTCCGTTGCCGAACGTAACGCAGGAAATCTGTGCCGACCTGTATGGTATCTCACGTACGTGGCTGAGTAGATGGAGGACAAACTGCGTAACGCGTACGGCTCTCGATAGATTCGATCCCATAGAGGCGACGACATGACAGGTCAGCTAGAAAACTAATAGCTTTCGCAGAACGACGGCGATGGCCGAGTAATCTACGAAGTCGTCAAGTTATGTGTGAAATAAGAAAAAAAAAAGAAACAGAATTTTGAACCGACAATTATTTTAATCAGCAAGGCTTTCCTGCGCACGTATCGATTATTGTGACTCTAGTCGCGTTTACAGCTCGAAGAAAGTTTCAACAGTCGAAGCCGTTCGAGAATCTCGATTAAACTGACAAATAAGGTTACGAGTTTATGTATCGGCTTGTACCTTAAGAAATTTCGCTCGATCGACAATCGATATATCGGCGATCTCCATCATGGACAATTGAGTGCACTCACCTGTATCGAGAACAGCCGAGACGTATCCGTATGCGTGCGATACGTACGAATAGAAGAAGAAAAAGTATCACTGAATTAACACTGGCCCCCCATCAAGGAAGGGTCAAAGGAGCACGATGCGATCGGGCCCGTATCGCTTTTAGACTTTCTTTTACGGAGGGACTGCTTTCGTTCGTTTTTCTTAAACAGCCATTGCCTGCACGAAGCGCGAGTCGTAAGATCGTCTCGTGCCGATTGCAGTACGGCTGAGAACCACTAAAAACACCGAACACACTTCACTGCAAGTTCAAACGGTACGTAGACATAAGGCGAAGCTGCCGAATGCCCGACGAATACGCTCAATGGACGCTTCTTCTTTTTTGAACGTTGAGTTTCTTCGCGTCATCGAAAATGCACTTCTCGAAATCAACAGGAGAAAAGAATGGGAGAGTGAGTGACACTTGCTCGTTGATAACTGTCGGCGACTGGGAATTCTACGTGTCTCGTTGGATCCGATCGATTAGATTGTCGGTTTACATTCCGTTCCGATCGAGCTCTTCCTTTCGAAGGGCAGCTGCACTCTCCCTGTGTACCTACTCGATATATTCTCACTGTTCCCTCTGCTCCCTCTTCGCCCTCCCTTCTGCACTCCCTAGACCGGTGTAACTAATTGCATGCTGCATTTACTGCACGCAACCCACACGTGTGCATCGACATAACTATATGTGGCAAGCGCACTCGCGTATACTGCAGCCACAAACAATTGTATTTTCAAAACAAACACATAGAAAAACACGACCCGAGAGAAAGATAGAAATCGATAAGGACCCGATAGCGTAGCTGAATCGAGCTTCGCAGTTCAAGACTAAATATTATAATGCCACGTGCACCTCCTGAACCTCTGGACGGAGTGGAGATTCAGGACAGATAACTCAACGCGAACTGAAGGACGGCGGACGTTGATAACTCGACAAAAAAAATGGATAATCGCGTAGGCGCGAAACGTGTGGTAGGAAGTGAGGTTTTCAAAGAACTACTGGCATCTGGAGGCGAGTGTCTTTCGTCGGTGCACCAGGTATCACCGCAGCCATCGGAGAGAGGGAAATGCTGAGGGAGCAGAAGGCGAAGGCGCTGCTAGTGGAGGCCGTGAAGCTGATGAAGTTGACGTAGGTAGAGAGGTTTGGTAGATCCAAGATTCAAGATCCCGTGCTTCAGGATCAAGATCAAGATAGGAAATGCAGCACCTAGTGATTTCGAATAAATCGTCTATAATACGGCACTCTCTCTCTCTCTCTCTCCCTCTCTCTCTCTCTCTCTCTCTCTCTCGATGATATTGAAAGTAATTCCCTGACCTGGGTTAAGCAAGATATACACCCAGTTTAGAACAGACAAAAATAATACTGGTTTGAAATAACGGAGATTCGCGGTACACCTTGTCGATATTAACCCATGTGGAATCGCGATCACGGCTCCTCCTGGCGCAGCAACAAGTGCCCGCAGCAGACTGCCGCGCCATGGCCTGCTCGCTCGTCCACTCGCTCGCTCGCTCGAGTCGCCTGAGCCGCGAATGCTCGACAGTCATCGCTAGACAGTGAATAGGTACTCCGGCGACTGAGCGGTACTTTTCGAACGGAGAAACGAAGGAAGTCGGAAAGATTGTGGACAGAGGTAGAAAAAAGCAAGAAAGAAAGGAAAAGCGTACCGACCATTCCATTTCCACTACCCTGGCCATTCCGATGCTCCCTGTCGTTGTCATCGCTCCAGTCTCCGCATGGAAGTGCGCTGCTACATGGCTACTCGGCTGCTCTGCCCGTGAACTGATAATAAACGGGAGACGAATCTGGCTGGCTGAACCAGAGATGAGTAGGGAGATGCACGACGCTACGGTTTTAGGCGATACCAAAAGCATGGCGCTGAATCCCAGCGGCGAGTCCGGAAGTAGAGTTACGTGATCATAGTCTCCGTCGATAAAGCGGATCCCGTCGTGGCCGAACTAACCGCGATCACGAACGTGTAGCTTGCGGGGCAGAGTCCTCCGCTACTTATCGCTGGTTCCCAAAGCAACACTTAGAACGAGACAGCTCATCGGATATAGCCTAAATACTTTTTTTCTTTGCAATCCTAAATTCGATCGCACAGTGTAAGCTCGGTAAGTTTAATATGATAAAAGCAAGCAACTCATGTCTGCCTGCACTGAAGCGTATGATGCCAGCAGCATATTTAATACATATTTTACCGATGTTGCGTAGCAGAAAAATTGTTAAAACCTATCAGGAAGTATAGAACTCCTTGAGAACTATTTAGAAAGCCTTAAAAAATGTTTCAACAATGGGCATTTTCAAAAGTTGTCGAGGAGTTCTATAGTTTCTGATAGGTTTTAACAATAGTTATGCAACGTAACATCGTTAAAATATGTATTTTAATAGAGAGTCCACAGTGTTCTTCTCTCGTCGGTGCGCTATAAACGCGGAATTGGCAAAATCCAGAAGACTCGCGTGGACGAGGAAAAGTTATTTAGTACGCAGCAGAATCTGCGGTTGATCACTCGGAAACAAGTATAGTTCGAGGTCCATTTTGGGGACGACTTGACGATCCCAGCCTTGGCCACTATTTTGCACTTCCTGTATTTTCGGTTGCGGACTAATTCTTCACTTGT